GACCCGGTCTGAAGCCCATGACCTTTGATGACCGTTACCGCGCAGAAAGAGATCGCCGGGATGAGATCGAGTTCAGGGAAAGGGAGCAGGCGAGGGAAAGAGAGCGCAGAGACAGAGCATATTCGGGAGGCGACGGCGGTCGAGGACCTCCTGTACACCAGGGCGAATATCGGCCCCAGGAAGTTCAAAGAGGCCAGCCTCCGCCATTTACCCGGCCCCCGGAGCAGCAACGTGAACAAGGCCCTTGGCCGCCAAGACAGCAGCCGCCTTTTGATCAGTCTAGAGTACCGTACGATCCCGCTGGATTACACCCAAGGCATCACGAATACCCTCCGACCTCTGCGCCTGGCTACCCACCTCAAGGTCAGGGTCATCCCGCTCCAGCTCCTCAGTTCCAGCAACAGCCGCCTCCCAACGATCGGTATCCTCCCAATCATGCTCAGCAGCCCCCTCCAGGCCAGCCCGGGCCACCAGGCCAGCCCGGCCAGCCCGGTCAGCCGCACCTGCAGCTACAACAACCACAACAGCAGCAGCAGCCTTTTGACTCTCCCGAGCGACGGATAAATCACTTACACCCCCAAGGGCAACCGCCTCCGCCGCATCGCCGTCCAGCCGAAGAAGGCCCGCCGCCTCCATCAGTCGCATACAGCACACCTCATGGCCCGCCAATGTACGATTCGCCTCGCAACCGACCTGCGGAAGAGCATCCAAACAATAATCAAAGAAATTTGTTGGCGGTCCAGGAAATTAATCGGAAAGGACGAGTGTCGCCGCTGCCTCAGGCTGTCCAAGGAGCACAATCACGACAGCCAGGACCACCAGGGCAGCTTAGCATAAAGAGCGAGTTTGGTAAGATGTTCTCCGGGATAGGAAGCGGAGTCACCCTTACTGGCAGCCCTGTCAACACCGTGACTCCATCGCCATACACAAACGCGAGTCTTGCAAGACGCGACGAAGCAGACGGCCCAGCGCACGAGTCTGGACCAGACACAGCAGCGCCCAAACCCAAGGGCAGGCGGAGAAAGTTGAAGGAAGATGAGACCAAGGGTGACGAGGACAGCACGGGACGACTGACGCCTGTTGGTCGAGCAAAGCGCCCGAAGACTCATCAACACCACCACCATCAGTACGTCCCGGTTCCCTCTGGTCTTTCTACAACGACTAACGACGACAGCCATCATCACCATCACCACCATGGTCATCATGCTGTCGATCACGCCAATGCCCCCACCCCTACTCCCAGTGGCGGCACGCCTTTCAAGAACGTAAAGGGAAACACTCCCATCCCATCTCCGACAGGACTGGCGAAGGATTTGCCGGCTGCTCACCACCATCATGTTCCTCGACCAGCGCATCAGCATACACACGTTAAGGAGACGCCCGCCAAGCAGGCCGTGCAGAGCCCGACGAATGTTCTTCCTCCCAAGCCGAAGACAATTGTAACCTCCAAGGCTGTGGTCGAGTCGGTTGCTCACTTGCCGCGAACCCATCTGGGCGATGTGCTCTATGAACCCAAGCTCAGCCCCGCGAGACAATTGCCAAATGTTCCATCCGGCCGCGGATTTTCCTCGACGCCTATGCCACTTCCTTGGAATGTCATCAAGGACAAGGAGAACTGCACACTGACGGTGAAGGTACCCAAGGTGCACCTGACTTCAGCGGCAAGGGAAGAGATCACGGCTCGCAGGGCATTATGGGGCACAGACGTGTACACGGACGACTCGGATGTCGTTGCTGCCTGCATTCACGGCGGATGGATTCGGGGTGAATGGGCTGATGATGTGGACGTGGCAATGTTGGACCTCGATCGCGGTATCAATGCCCCCGAAAAAGAAGTTCCGGCAACGAAAAGACGCAGCAAGGAAAAGGAGAAGGAGGAGAAGGCCCGGTTGGAGGCCAATTCGGCCACATATCTCGAAAAGCCGCCCAGGACAGGCCCTGTCACTGTACCCGTCGATCGCGATATGCACGTCAGCCTCGTGGTTCTCCCACGATTGGATAAGTACGGTAGCACTACTCGCTTCGGCATGCAGTCGCGAGAATTTGGTGGACGGTACAACGGTCGACAGTCGATCCATGACGGCATCAGCTACATGATTACGGGTATTCGCTGGGTCACGAATGGCGCCGGCACGCAAAACCGTCTCCGTGGCAAAGGCCGCAGAGAGCGAATGCGCAAGGCCATGGGAGAGATGCACGCGGCCAGCCGAGGCCTTAACGGGGCTGAGCTGGAGCGCGAGAAGCTTCGCCTGAGTAAGATTCGAGGAGAGATCGTCTCCGGCACCTGGTGGAAGAGAAACCAAGGTTCGCGCGCCTTTGGCGAGGACAAGGAAGAACGAGCGCCGAGCGAAGGAGACAAGGAAAACAGAATCGACGGCGAGCCTCCTCAAAGTGCGGCTCCCAAGGCGAACGGAGTCATCACGAATGGCGCTTCAGCGGCCGATGACGACAAGATGGATGTGGATAGTGCCACCGCAAAGGTCTCTGACGTTCCGGTTGCTTGAGATATCTATCACGGCTTGATTTAGAGACGAATGGCATATATGAGCATGGAGCAGCGGATGACAAAGTTGGAGTAGTTTTGTAGGAGTAGCGCTGGTTATAATACCCAATACTTTTTGAATACTTGAAGTGGTTCGAGGTCATGAGATGGTATCTTGATGTGATTATGGCGACTAGTTACTATACACTGACGATACAATGCGAGAGGACCTCTTCATTTAAACGTGTTGCCTAACAGGGGATGTCCCAATGTCTTCTGGCGTCGCTTTGCAAGTCGAATCAGCTCCATCTTTATCGAGGCCAAGTCGCTCTCTCTCTCTCTCTCTCTCTCTCTCTCTGGAGCGCTCAACTTCCTACCAGATGTACCCCGCAAAAAAAGACATGAAATTATCGTTCACGGGACATCTAGAAATCCGTCACGCGACCGTTGTAGCTCCAATCACCACCAGACCCCCAACGAAGGGGCTCCCGCTTGGGCCCGCCGACCTCGCCGGTGCGCGGGTTGACGTCGCCCTCGAACTCTGCGGGGGCGCCGCGGACGTAGTTTGGGTGCATTGTGTCTTCGTCCGTTGCCGCGATCGTGGGGGTCGCGGTCGCAGTGGTAGCAGGTTCGGTCGCCGTTGCTGTTGTGGTCGCTTCGGTTGCGACTGAGGAGGCGGGGGATGAGTCGGCAGAGGTGGACGAGGCGTCGGCGGGGGGTTCAGATTGCTCTTCGACGAGGTGTTGGAAGGCGCTCGAGACGGAGGCCTGGCGCTGGAGACGCTCGAATTCGGCTTGTTGGTCTGCTGGGAGGCGGGGGGGCGCGGGGCCGCGGGAGAAGGCTGAGGTTGAGGAGAGGCGGACCGGGATTGAGGTTGAGGGTTTGACGTGGGTGAGGTTTAGGAGGGGGCGGAGGCGGAGGAGGCGAGACATTTTGGAGTGTGGTTTGTCGACTTGGGGTTTTGTCTTCTACGTTTGGTTTGTGAGAGTTTGGGTTGGTCGAGGTGGGGTGTAGAGGCGTTGTTGGGCGGTTTTGGTGATGGTGATGTGAAGAGTGCGGGTTTGAAGGTGGACGATTTCGGGACGATGGCGAAAATGCTCGGTAAAAGAAAATGTCACAATGTCATTGACGCGGGTTGGTCGGAGCGCAGCGCAGTGCAGCGCGGGAGGCGTTTTTTTTTTTTTTTTTTTTGGACCCTTGCTGGCAGCTGCACACTTGGGTTCCCCAATGAGCGGCGCCATCCATGGCTTTGGGCTTCCGGTGGCGGAGGCGGATGGGGCCGAGGTTTGCCGTCGCGGAAGCTCAAAGGTGCCTGGGCAGGTCTGGAGGTACCTCCCGTGTGGATGACATAATGGGATGCTCGTGGGCGGACTCTAAACTCTGTGATCATGGAGTTTGAGCCCTCATACCAACTGGTTGTTTGATTGTACGAGTGCATTAGTAGCTCAAGGATTCAACTCATTTCCAGATAGAGTTTCCTGTCTTTGTTACCAAGGTATTACCGCCACTATTGTTAATTCGACCTAAGCAAGGATCACTCTATTTACTCAGTATATCTTGAGATTTATTCCATCCGTAATACACTCCCAACACGGGGTACTGTCGAACAGGCAAAGACGTATATAATACTTAACCGATTTCACTGCCAAATTACACAAGTCGTCATTGGTACATGCCTAGTGACATTTCAAGGTACGCTTGTATTTCTGGGCTTCGGTCTCAGAACACCCAGAGCTAGATGCCTGCCTGCCTCTTCCAAGGGGAAATCTCTTTAGCACACGACGAGTTTAAATACCAGACACGTGTCTGGCTGCTAATCCTTCCATCTACGCACAGCCACACGGAGCACTCGTGTCAAGCAGCTGATCAAGCTACCCTACCTTACCATATAAAAGAGCTCAAGACTTGCACCTAGTTCTCAAGCCTGAGAGAAGTATCGTTTCAGAGGAATCAGTCCGGAGACAATGGCAGGTTGCATGTCTTGTCAAGACAGACTAGACAAGGCGAGTAGCTGTTTCATCAGCCTTCTCAAAACGTCTGGTTTATCATTCACAGACCCTACCATCAGTATGTCTACCTTAAGGTTCCTTACTTTCTCCATCACCCCTCGACGTGCATTGCATATAGAATACACCAAGACACACGAGGGCTTACTTGGGACGAAGAGCTGTTTTGAACCTTTAGGATAGCCGAACGACAAGCCTAGAACATGCCAATGGCATGTTCCTAAAGTTTGATGGCCGATTATTGCCACAGGACAATAGGAAAACTGCGAGTTCTTGGGCAAGGAAAACCGAAAGTGCCTTTCTCCGCCTTTATATACAGAAACCGTTGGTTCTCGGGTTTGGCCTGTGATTCGTGAAAGAGACTTTTTTCATCTGCCGCCCACCTCCTTCACCGTGACTTGGACTATCACAATATTCCACGGCAGCGTATGTTCCCTTCGCCCACGGTAGCGACCGTATCATAGCTTATGAATCACAATCTTTCCACTCCATCAACGGCTATTGAACCATTGATGGATATTCTCTGCCAAGACTACCAGGAACCAAACTTCCAAGACGGCATTATGGGCAACCCTTCACATGACTGGCGAGCTGGCGCTTTCAGGAACACATCGTTCTTGGAAGAAGTGAAGATGGATGGCACTGATGTCAAGCGCTCCAATCATATCCCACTACTCACACGTCTGCGTCGCTACCATCCCGACTCGCCGGGAATCCCAAGCCCGACACGCGAGCTGCTGAACTACCCCCAGTAAGCTTAAACTCACGACGGGAGCCCCGGAGAATTTAAGCTTCAACGTCCGTCGGCTCCAGGAACGCGCACCCATGGCGCGGAGTACAGCAGTTCGCATGCATGGTAAGGGATCGGCTTCTGAACGAGCACGTTTCCGTCCGTTCTACTAGGCAGCTCACTTCGACATCATGTTTCTGAGAATGCCGATACAGGCCCGGCACGTCCATCCAACCGGAAGAGACTCGCGTGTTCGCATCCACAATCCTCAGTTCCACGATTGTCTTCGTCCAAGGACCATGCCCGGCGCGTGGTGTCCATCGTGGGGTGTCCCCCGGACCCCCGCTCCGGCAGGGGCATCGCCCGCTAATCCCACCAATCCCCCACCTCCTCCGATATTGCGGTCTCGAATCTTGGCAGAATGGCTGGTTTCTCTTTCGCCGGTTAGACCGCGGACGGCAGGCGAGCGGTCCACTTTGAAGACAACACCGAGTTGACTGACTCCCCTTCCCTCTTCCCGAGAACTGTCTGCCTATGATGGGCTTCTGAGTAGAGTAAACCCGAAATTGGCGGGATGATTGCAGTCTGTGGCGTGCCTGATGGGCTCGCTTACACGGAGACTGACCCGCGGCATATGCGATGTTCTCGGAAGATGACTTACACGGCGATGCCCTCCCACTCCCTTCACACCTCCATGACGAACGACCTTGGAGAAGCGATATAAATCTCCTCATCCACTCCCTCTTCCACTCCGTCCTCCCACCGGCTCACTCTTCATCACAAGAAGAAGGGACCTCCAAGTCCCACCCCATCACGCCCAAAATGCGTCTCCTCTCAACCCTAACATCCTTCCTCGCCCTCGCAGCGGCACCCCTCGTCTCCGCCTTCACAAACCCCATCCGCCGTCCCGGCGGCTCCGACCCGTTCCTGACCTACTCGGGCGACGGCTACTACTACCTCCTCTCCACGACCTGGTCCACCGTCGAAATCGCCCGCTCCACCACCATCGAAGGGCTCAAGACCGCCACCAAGAAAGTCGTCTACTCCTCCGCCGACGCCTCGCGATGCTGCAACGTCTGGGCGCCCGAGGTCCACTGGTTGGGGAACCGGTGGTATATCTACTTCACGGCGGGCGGGAGCGCGAATTTGGATAATCAGAGGATGCATGTTCTGAGGGGTACGTCTTACACCACGCACTCACTTTCACGCTCCTCTTCTTCTCGTCACTAGCTTAGACAATGTCATGAGAGCCTCGTCACTAACACACAACAGGCGGCACGACCCCCTGGGACGCCTTCACCTACGTAGGCCGCATCGGCCCCGACGAATGGGCCATCGACGCCTCCGTCCTCCGCACCCCCTCCCTGGGCGAATACCTCGTCTTCTCCTGCTTCCACGGCGCAACCTACCAATCCATCTGCATCCAAAAGCTCAATACGGACTACGTCTCCACCTCCGGCTCCGTCGCCCTCATCTCCCAACCCACCCAATCCTGGGAACGCGTCTCCCACCCCGTCAACGAAGGCCCCGCGGCGCTCTACTTTGGCGGGAAGACCTACCTCGCGTACTCTGCGTCGTACTGCTGGTCCGCGTCGTATTGTCTGGGTTTGTTGACCTGGGACGGGAGCAGGGCGCCGACGGACCCCGCGGCGTGGACGAAGGGGAATGGGTGTGTGCTGAGTAGTGGGAATGGGCATTACGGCACGGGGCATAATAGCTTCTTTGCGAGTCCGAAGGGGGATCAGACGTGGATTGCGTACCATGCTACTGCGAATAGTGCGGGCGCGTGCGATGACAGTCGGTATACCATGGTGCAGATGCTCGGGACGCATAGTAACGGCTCGCCTAACTTTGGGACGCCTGTTGCTTTTAGTTATGCGTATGGTGAGCCGTCCAAGTGAGTCTGGGATGGGAGGGAGGGGTTTGCGAGTGATGTTGGAGGGAGGGAGAGGTAGGGTGTTGATGACTGATGCTGGTGATGAAGATATGATGGAATGAGATGAAGCTACAAATAAATGGATTTGGGGGGATTGGGGGGGGGGGGGATATATGAGATTTGATGCTCGATTCTTGTAAATACTGTGTTATTGGAATTGGAAGTACATAACAATCGCGTTCATCTGAAGTTTCTGATGCATTTTCAAGCCAATCGACTCATCAGGAGACAAAAATAAGGGTGAGATGGTAGAACGTCACTGATTCAATGTAACTGTGTCAGATTAAATTCATGGAATAACGGACGTGAGAAGAGATCCTTTGGGTTAGGTAGGTACTTGGGATCAAAACGTGGGATCAGAACATTAGGGCTATATATGACTGACCTTTATGGATCTTAATATTTCATTGTGGGTTGCTCAAGTTACGAGAGGCGGCAGGTGTGAAGGTATTAATTATTCTTGGTTATCCTATTTCCAACTCGACTGCCGGCATCAGCCTTGTGCCATAGCTCTCTACACTGCATCCGTAAATGCCTGTGGCTCGGACCGCTTACTCTATACAGGGTATGCCATCATTAAATCCCTTATTTCATACTCTACTTGAGGTATCGTGTGTTCAAAACAATTACGCCGTCGCTGTTGGATGATATCATTCGATAATGTCGGGCGCAGTCAGCCCGACGTTTGGAGTATCGCCTCTCCCACCTTGATCCTGGCTGGGCAATTCTGGAGGCCGCATATCCTAAATCTGGCCATTGCCGACGAATTCCCGCTGCACTTCAATCTCTCCGCTATCGGCGGTAAAACGTCGCTCGAGAACCCATCTAGTCTCGCCACTCTCCTCCTCCTTGATATATGATATACTGTCCGCAGACCCCTTGTGTTTGTGACCCATGCCAGGCCTCCGCTGAGGTTGGGGCGTCGGGTCGATCCGGGGCACGAGGTTCGGATGCATAGCTGTATCCGGGCTCTTCATCCATAAGCCCGAGTGGGAAATGGTGTTGGAGATTGACAGCTCATCCATCTCGTCGGACTCCGGAACGGGATCGAATGCCGCGCTGTGCGTGAAGTGGGGAGAGTTCATGACCACCGCAGGACTTTGTGTCAGTGGTGGCAGAGGCGGAGGCGGTGACCCTAGAGTGGGCATGGACATGGTGAGAGTAGGAGAGCCCGACGTGCTGCCTGCATCCGAAGAATCCATGTCGCGGCTGCGAACAGAGAATGCCGAGTTCTTACGGCCATGGCCATGTATGCCCAGCATGTTGTGAGGCCCCGGGCCCCAAGGTGAGCTTCCACCTTCGCCCCTCTCAGATCTTGGTGACCCCTCCCGACTGGAGACCAGACTGGCCTGTGATCCACCCCAAGCCCTTGAACGAAGCCGCATCAGCGCTGACAGGCTCATGTTATCGTCACCATCAGCCATCATGGCAAGTTGGGCCAGGCCAGGGCTCTGGAGACTTGATGGACCGGAACCGATGCCAGGCGGGACCGCGAGACTCATGATCGAGTTACGGTTCGAGTACTCGGATCTCTCCGTGATAGGCGTGAGGTTGGGCTCTCGAGATACTATCCTCCCGGACTTGCTTCGGGATACACCCGACGGCCCAAAGAAGCCGCCATTAGCATATTCGAAAGGCTTCTCATCCGATCCGTTGGAGCTGTCCCTACTGTGGCGCCCACCTCCTTCGACAGGAGCAGAGTAGAACCCAAACTCCTGACCATACCAACCGTCAGAGTCGTTGGCAAGGGCACTAGCGTTCGCCTCCGCAATGAAGTCGTCATAGTCGACATCGTAATCATTCAGGTCTTCGCGAAACCCAGTGTCGTCGTAATCATCGTAGTCGTCCATATTCTCATGCTGTGGAAGGTCATCTAAGGATTCTCCACTGGGCGACATCAGCTCGCTTGGAGGGGGTGACGAGTCTCGTCGAAAACGACCATTGGCGGCGGCTTCGAACGCTGCTGCCGCCAGAGCAGTTTGATAAGCATCCACCTTGTCCTGGCCCGTCGCTGAGAAACTAGAGGTCATTGCGGAAGATTCCTGGCCTTGGGCCAGGACGTCGCTGCCTCGTTTGGACTCGTCGACAGAAGGAGCCGGCATACCGACGCTGAGGGAAGTATGGGCTGTCGATTGCGATACATTGGAATGCGCAGACAGGCGAGACGTGCTGTCTGAGATTCTCTTGACATTGTCAGGGGCACTGCCGTCTTGGACGCTAGGATCTTGACTTTCGCCGACCTCGGCATCGGTTCCTTGCACTTTATTCTCAGGCTGGGTGGTGCCACCAGTCATCGCAGCTCTGGCAGCTTGAGCTCTGGCAAAGGCGCCCGGAATAGGACGGCCATACTTGTCCGTATCGTCCAGATCAAAGATGGACTCGTCAAAGTAAGAGCCGTCCCCCTCGCCAGCAAATTCCAGCTCATCGAGAAGGCCGTTATCAAAATAGAGATCGTCCTTCTTAGGGACTGATAGAGGAGCGGGCGACAAAGACTGGGTTGGCTCGCGCAACGTTTTGTCCTCGTCTTGCAGCTTCGTATCGGTAATATTCAAGCCGTCGATCGGAAGTTCGGCAGCTGAATCAGTCGTAGTGGGCGACAAGTTCTGATCGGGAGCAAAGCCGGGACTCAACAGCTGGTTCAGATCTGGCGTATCTCTCGAGATGGCGAATCCAATCACCTTTCCGTCTGCATCTCTCGGCGTCGCTAACAGACCGGCGCTGTGTGGACTGGTCAAGGCCGAGGGAGGGCCTGATCGTTGAAAGACAAAGCCAGCAAAGTTCTCTTGATCGTTGTCTGGGTCGTTTGCAGCATCCTCGTCGAATTCGATCTCAACTTCTGGGACCGGATCAAGAGCGAAGGGGTCGGTTCCAGCCGCATCGAAGTCTTCACCGTCGTCGAGACCCAAAGGATCTGTGCCGCCAGCGTCAAAGTCCTCCTCGTATCCGTAGTCGTCTCCAAAGTCATTGCTCATCGGAATCGGCTCTTCGAACCCGTCGTCCTCCATCATCGCATCGTAATCAAAGTCCTCGTCAAAGTCGTCGAACCTAGAATCACGAGGTCCGCTAGGCTCAGGGTCGGACGTCTTCCTCTCGAGTTCGCGTTGACGATGTCGTTCTTCGAGCAGCTTCTCCTGCTTTGCCGCGCCGACCATGTCGAAGCTGAATCTGGAGGACGTACTCTTCAATCGGCGGGGCACAGAAGAAAGAACATCCTGCCCAGACACAGAGGCATGTCTTGAAGGGTTTGCTCTTGTGGACGGTGTTTTCTTGGATAAGATCGAGGACGCACTAATTGAGGGCTTCTTGGAGACGATTGAGGCCGAGCTCGACGATGGTGCGGTATCATCTTTGGGCGGCACGTCGGGCAGAGGTTTTGACTCCAAGTTCAAGCTGCTTCTTGTCTTCACCGACCCGCTCCCTGATTCAACAGCTGGCTGTGATATGACGCTGACGGAGCCCGAGTGACCAGATTCAGAAGCACTGCTTGTATTCCTTCCATGTTGAAATGCTTGTGATGGTGCTGCGCTCTCTCTGGACGACGTCTGGCCCAAGTCTGACATCTCCTCAGGTATCGGCGGTTGTGCTTTCGTCCCAGGGGTTGGCGCCGCGGCAGGGCTGGGACCCTCATTATTGGGGATGCTTCGTCGTGGTCGTGGAGCGCTAAAGTCATGAACTCTTGTCCCGCGAATTCGAGGATCGTATGACGGGTTTCCTCCCAGCGGGAGAGGCGTCAAGTCTGGTGCATTTTGACTTGTCTTTCTCCGTGCAAGCAGTGTTGACATTGGGTTTTTCAGAAAAGGCAGGCCTTTCCTACCCTTCGGGGCATCGGAACCATGGTTTGCCATGCGGATTGGCTCGCTCGACAACCTCGTTCCTGCAGGGCGACGTCCGGTGGCAGGATAGGCTTGAGCTTGGGGCGAGCTCTGTGTATTGCCCTGGTGATGCAGCTCGGTCGGGGTAGCAAAGGAGCCGGCATGTTTTGAGGCGCTCGTGGGTTGCGGTGGGGGTCTCGTCGGAGGGGCGGTGTTTATCGGCGGGGGTGCGGGCTTCGACCTTGTGAATTGACTTTCGTGGCTGCCTTGAAGAACCGGAGACGCGACCAGATCCGGTGATTTCGCCGCCATTTGTTGCTTCTTGAGCTGTTGTTGTTGCTCCTGTTGCTCGCGTTGGTATTTGCGCAAAGCGACGCCACCGAGGAAGCCAGAGTCTGCGTTGTATGGCGAGCGCACCGGTGGAGGCACGGGCGGCTGGGGTTTCTGCGTGTTGGGCTCTGGCGTCACCCTGATCTTGGTATCGACAGTCGGTCGCTCGAGCGGGGATGGCGATTCGGAGCTGGATGAGGTGACGCGGGGAATGGGCGGGAGGGTGGGAGGCAGTGAGGAATTCGTCGTCGAAGCCTGGGGTCGCATGTCTGGGCTTAAGGCGGCATCTTGAATGAAGGGAGAGTGCTGCTGTGGAAGCGAGGGATCCCAGGGAGCAGCGGCCGAGGGCTGTTCGGGGTTTGGCGAAGTGGGATTCGACTGTCCCCTCCGGTGGATTCGTAAATGGGAAAACATCGTCGTGGTTTCGGGGCGGACGAGCTACTGGATGGATGGGTGATTCAGGCGCGAACGGCGATCCGAACCACCGGCGCAGGGGTGGCGGGTGGTCGCAGAGGAGGAAGCAATTACGGGGTCAGGTTGGCGGATAACGAGCGAAGGGAAGCTGGATCGAGCTCGCGACTCCAGTCCTCCAAGTCCAATATAGTCCCCGAAAACTAGGTACTGGTAGTGTTGGCACAGGAGACTAGACGACGTTGACGGTGTCAGTCTTCAGCCTCTTGAGCGAGACGCATTCACCTCCTTGCAGACAGAGGCGCAGTCATAGTTCGTCTGTCCTGGCTCGGATGCGATGGTGTATCAGCGTCAGTTTGCGTCGGCGTCAGATGCGTGTGTGCAGGCGCGAGCGTTGGGAGTGGTGTTGGTTTTCGGTGGTGGTGGTAGTGGTGGTGGTAGTGGTGGAGGGATGTCTTGGAGATTCGATGCAAGCTATTGGTAACGGTGCTTGCTGGGCATTAGACGGAGGGTGTTGAAAGAAGAAAGACCCGAGTCATACGCCTGCCTGGAAGGAGTAATGAATGGACGAATACCTTGCAATAATAGTAAGGTATGGCGGGGAAGAGAGGTGGGAGGAAAGCAGTGGCGAGGATGGCAGGATCAAGTTCAGGATGACGGGATGAGAAAAAAAGAGATGGAAGGAAAAGAGGCAGCAGATAACGAATAGAGGTAATTGGAGAGCATCTGTAAGCAGGTTGGGCAGGCATGAAAAACTGCTGGATGCCGTTAGCTGTCACCACTTCTTTTCTGCTCTTGTCGCATGCCTTGCCCGGTTCTTAGTATGCGAGGTGGTATTACTCCCAGCTGCTTTTGGCGGCTGCGTGGGAGAACCTTGTCCATGCCATGCCAGTCAGGCCTCTATCTCTCTATCTCTCTGTCTCTCCGTCCGTCTACGGCCTGGTTTGTTTGGACTTTGCATATCTCCTTCTCATCATTTACTGCCATTCAAGTGACTACTAACCTGGTATCCTCATGCCGAGCTTCTCAAGTCATAGAACATCTTGCCAAGGAATAGCCGAAAACGCAATAGTAGACACTGCGAATGCTCAGACATTCACAGTCCAAGGCCTTGGCTGCTGCTGCCAGCACTCCAGGACTCGGCCTCGTCTGCTGGGTCGTGCGGCTTTTTGCAAACGCTAATTATTGTTACCCAACATCCAGGGTCAAGGACTCGGGACTCCAATTTCAAGGATTTCAGCAGGGCGAAAGCTCAGAGAATGGAGAGTGAACAGAGTCACCGCTCGGGCTGGCGCGCCCACTGCTGCAGGTTAGCCGTGTCAATGTCATCCATCATGTCATCCTCGATGGATGATGATGGATCTTGGAAAAACGCACCAGGGTTGCTGCAGGCCATCAGGTAAGGGCAAGAAAGGGTCCAGTCCTCCCTCCATCAGTGGTCTCTCCAATCTGCATCAAAGACAGATGCCTGCCCGGAAATCAATAATAATAGCCAAGGTACCATAGATGGCTTCCGACTGCATCAGCCCAGTGGCTGCTACCTCCGGGTCTTCGGAACAGACGGCTCATTGTCGACTCCCTGCCTCGTCTTCGTCTTCGTCGCTACTTTTGTCCTCTCGCCATTCCTCCCTTTCTCTCTGTCTTGTCTCGTCTCGTCTGGACTCTGGGCAACCATCCCACATATCGACATCCACACGACATCCTTAGCACATCAGAAACCCTCCGAGTGCGTCTGATTGGGTCGTGGCAGACGCAAGGCGAAATGAAGCACACCCATTCCAGAATCCAGAGATCCATCCGCCAGTGCTAATGGCCCCGTTTTCTCCGACCCCCACCATCCTTCTGACGCCGAGCTCGAGACGCCAGATTATGTGATTATGTCATCCCACACAGCGCCTGGCCTAGGAACGTGGCTTACATAAATATCGTCAAACGCCTGGCTTATGTAATTACATTCACATGCATAGCACAAGCACATGCCATCGAACTCTGCACAACTAATGCAAACCTCACCACGAAGCAAATGTCATTCCCATTCTCTAGCATTGGGATTCTACATCTCCAGTACCGACTGCAACTTTCCCAATAACGCAGTGCCTAGCGCAGATCATCCCATCATCCCATCCTTTGCGACCGAATTGTCTCGTCCCAACGGGACAAATGGAAGGATGAAAGGAAGACGAAACCAGCCAGGCAGATGGCTGCCCACATCCCTATGATCGCCGTTGGCCCCATCACCTGGTCCCTGATGAGACGAGACAAGAGTTGCTCCGACTCGTTACACAGCGAACTTGACGCGACGACAACGGCAACGACAACGACATGCGATACATGCCATAAACCGTCACGCACGCGGCGGCCCGCATCTGGCGTTGGAGCTTCAGAATCTGGGGCGATGTGGAATGTGCCAGACCAGCGCATTGAGCTAGCTCCCTGAAAACACGAGGCGAGCGGCCCAACGCCGTACGGTTGCGGGATGTTGATCTCTGGCACATGCTCGCTTGTCAACTTATCTCCATAGACCCCATTTTTGCCGCATTTACGAGAACTGGCATCCTGAATGACCGTTGACATGCAAGAGGATAGCAAGCAGCCATCACGAACGAATACCACCACGGCAAAAGCAAAAGATCGACGTTGGCCTGATTCGAACAGACGCTCCCGAAGGAACAAGATTTCTAGTCTTGCGCATTAGACCACTCTGCCACAACGCCAGTGGAAGGTACTGAAGCGAGTCCAGGATTCATGTCGATCGGCGAGAAATAAGAACTCATGTACCAGCAACTATTGGGTGGCCCTGAGTCGAGATCCGCTGGCCCCACCGAGCGGGTATGCTCCAGGCGGGGCGCTCCGGTCTAGATCCGGAGCGTAGAAAGTTCCTGCTCAAGAAAACCTCTATGCCGCCGATAGACTTGGGCCTGTACCGAGTAGGTTCCCATACAGACACAGCTTCTGGTCGTTAAAGACAACCCAAGGGCACATGATCAAATGGCATGGTTCATTGCCAGATCACATCTTGAAACGTCGTGATGAAGATATAATCAACTGGAAGCAGTAGCTCTGAGCATCATGTTTCCCTCTCAAAGGCAAAATATTGTCGAGCTATAAAAATAGGTCGGTCACTACGCATTCTACCTACACTCACCTTGTGGACTTCGGCTTGTTCATGTGTCCAACTGATGCAGACGAATCATACTCTCGCCCCATCTCGTCGTCGCTCTCGAGGTCCCCAGCTTCGGCTGTCGTCCTCGAGGCATCAACAGCCGCCCTTCTCTGCAGCTTCCACTCCTCAGTGATGTATCCAGACCTAAACCCACCAGCCTCCAGATCCTGCTGGAAATCCATATTCGGCCCAACCAGCGCCGTCGCCATCTCCCTCGTCGAAGTCATCACCTGCTCAAGCAACTCCTCCTTCGCAATCTTCAAGTCCCGGACCAGGTTTCCCACAAGATTCATCTCCATCCCGCTGTCCCCAAAGTGCCGCCGAAGCGCCCCCTCAATCCCATTCCACACCCCGTCCGTCGTCTTCGCCATCCCCTGAACATACCCCAGCGCAGCATCCCACATGTCGCGATACACCCGGTTCATAAACTCCATCTGCCCCAAATCCGCGCGCCGTGTCAGGTCCTCGATGATAGTCTTCATACGATTCGAGTACTCGCCCCTACGCTCCGCCTGCGCCTCGCTGTCGAGGTAGGTGAGCCGGTGCCGGACACGGCAGTCCGCGCAGAGCTTGTGGGCGCGCTTGGCGTACTCGTCGCGGTGGAGGGCTTTGGCGCTGCGCTCGTCTTCGAAGCCGGCCCAAACGGCGCGGCAGTTGTGTTGCGGGAGACCGGGGAGGGTCATGTGGTTGCATTCGCGCTGCTCGAGGTAGTCTGCAAAGTAGTCGCCGCAGCCGCCGTTTTCGGGGCTGAGGCAGCGTTGGAGGGCGAAGACTTTCATGCACATTGCTGGGTTTTCTACGGTTTCTATGAGTTTTTGGTGGGAGATGGGGTTGTTTACCTTGGATAAGTCTCTCTTGGGTCGGTTGTTGATCGTAGATTTGGAGTTTTTGCAGTGAATGTGTGGCTTTCTTGTAATGCGAGGTGATGTGAGTGATGTACAGTCAACGGTCTGCGGTTTGGGAGAAGGCAGCAACTCGCTCCTGATATATACCAATGAGTCGAGTCCTGAAGCAGGCCCCTGGCTTCGGGAGGGAATGCCAAAGAATCTCGAGACAAGGTGTGCTGAGACAGAAGGCCTCCAATATTGACAATTGGTTTGTCCAACACAAAGGCGCTTGTCGAGGTCACAGCACGACGAGACAGCACGGACAAAGAGGTACTAGACGTCCGCCCTTTACCGCGAGTAGCATCGCTTGTTGTCGAATCTCTAAGAAGAAGTTACACAACATGCCGAGTCGAGGTATTCAAGGGCTCGAGGCGGTCTGTGTCCAGTTGATCTGAGCTCGGTGCCTGATCTGGGGCTGTTGCTTCGTCTGCCTGTTCTGTTCCACTGTTTTCGACTTCATTGCAGAACAATGCCTTGATGGACTTGACCGTGTACCCATCAAGGTGTTCTTTGACGGTGTTGTCTTATTGCTCACATTCTCTAGGCAACTCCGAAAACTGAACCGAGTCAATGAGAATGAACTTTCCTAGATCTCTGGAAGGGATGATCAAGGGCGAAGAGAACGGAGATAGGGGGGGATCGAGCTATAAACAGAGTGCTCTCACTCAAAGTCTTCAAGCTACTTGCCCAACTTGAGATCGCGATGATCTCCAGTACCACCCTCTCCTACAAAGCCATCGATAGAAGCTTACTTTGTATGGGAAACCCTGATTAAAGTGCTCTATACCTAGCTTAGACTCACAAATTAGTCGTTTCAGATGCTTCTCTCATAAGAAAATCGAGAAACCTGTTGTCGCGAATAAGATCAACCATGTTCAGATCATGTCTAGCACCTATCATCGTCGAATTCCGACTCCGAAGGTACCTTTGGCGTCGGAAGCATAAGATTCGGCGCCGGAGAATCTTTCGCAGTTCGTCAGAGCGAGTTTGGTTTGGGTCGACATGGGGATAGGCAAACTGTTCCTTTCAACATAAGTATGGGATGAGAAGGTACATGGTACTGGAATAGGTATGGACTCTATCTTGGGTCCCGAGTTTATAGCATTTACTGACAAGAGCACCTAGCACGAAGATACGCGCTTCCACCCAACCTATCAATGCGTCGTTCAAGTCTTCAGCGACGCCAAAGCTCTCTTGAAAGACCATTGCGGCGGCCGTACTGCTTTATTTGTAGATCCGAATACTGGTAGCGCATACTAGTCACTCAACTCTTCATTAATCTACTATGGCTGTCACGTATAACTAGTAGAATAGGTACCTAACGACCGAAGTAGGGCACAGATGGGTGATAAAGAATGCCAGTAAATAACAGCTTTGAGGGGTAAATAAGAAAGAGAGTCAAAGATGTCTAAAGCCATCTTGGCAAGCTTGAGAGACGCGAGAGAAATTTTGATCGAAGGACACGCGCGAGAAATTCGACGACAACTCTACGATGAGCAAGTTCTGGCGGGATGGCATGAGGAAATGGTCGAATTCCTCATCCGGGGACCAGAAGCAATACAACATCTATCAAGAGATAAGAAGCATCTGGTGAAAGACGAGGTAAGCTGAAGTCCGAAGGCAGCTCCAGGTTACAACCTTGACAGCAAGCTTACGTGTGACCCGTTCTGAAGGCTAAAAGAACCTTGGCTTCAGTATCTCCTCCTGGGCACACTGAAGTCGGTTTCTCGGACCTCTCCAGATTTTGTGAACTCGTCATCAACTTTCAACATCTCCTCTCCAATATTATGCTTGAGATAAGAGAGGAGTCTAGGGCGGATCCCCATTCGAAGTATCTAGTCAGGAAAGAACCCCTGGCGCAGAAGGAGACGATGAGACGCGTTTTTCAAGGCCGTAAAGAAGAGGTCACTCCATTAGGGCCCCATAATGTAGGGTGAGGCATCCAAAGCAGCTTCATGGAGCATAAGGGATTTCAGTTATCGCTGGTTGAGGCAAAGCATGCGGTCATGCCTGGAGACAAAACCCATGTGACCAGCAGAAACTGTGCTGAGAAACCTCTTTTTTCTTGGTCGATGTCAAGTGCGATGACTCTCGTTGATCTCATGATCACTCAAATGCTTTGTGCACTTCTTGGCATTTTATCTCACTACCTGCCTACAACTTCCTATTTGTCGCTCGAATCTTGACCTCAGCGATCGGCCTACTCTTTTGTAAGAGTTTAATTGTTGGTTTCATGCTGTTATACTTGCATGTCTCGGGCATAGAGACTTGGTCTATCCCGGGCCTTCAATGGCGTCGCTCTTGGAAGCTTTGAATCTGCAGGCTCAATATTCGAAGTAGGTTCCTTGCGAGAGGGAGCTATGCACGATTACAGTAAATCAAGTGCCTCTGCATTTGTCAAGTAAACCTAGAGTTAATCGATCGAGACTAGAAAGAGAAGCTTCAGCATAGCAGAGACGTCGACACCGTCCGCGAAGAGGCAGCAAATGAGGTTTCTCGACGATCGAACAGAGTCCTTAACAGAGGAACAGATGTCCGTCAACGCCGCCAATATGTATGAGAAACAATACGACTACGGGGACTGCCCTATAAAGCATGGAGAGATTCGCCTTATGATTCTCAAACCAAATGCGCACCATTCGGCTGAGATTGTTGTTCAGCCGAGAGTAGTCTCCATCCAAGAGATTATAGGAAATCCCCAGACTTTCAAATACGCGGCTATATCACACAGTTGGGGTAGTGAGGACGAGAGCAATACTGTCTTTGTTGACGCGCCTCATGGCCATGGACCGCAAGCCGTTTCCGTGGTGATCGACTTCTCAACGGACGCGGCACACTCCCTTCAGAAGATGGAGCGAGTGAGTATCAAACCGAACCTATACGCATTTCTCCAAGAATTTCTACTACCAGATCGAGAGGTAGCTCTGTGGGTGGATCAAATTTGCATCAACCAGAAGGTAGGACTAGCAGACGAGAACGCCAAGACTGACCAAGCCATGGATTTCATCAACCTCTTACTCCAAGACAACACGAGGGATGTATTTTGAGATAATTACGCAACGTACTGTTGAGCGCTTCTGCACTTGATGTGTGATCCGGTTTTCTCGCGTCAATGGATCATCCAAGAGCTGGCCGTGGCAAAAAACGTCGAAGTGCGATGCGGCTCCAAAACAGTGAAATGGAGAGACATTGCATATGCGGTCAGCAGTCTTGCTGACCAACTGGATCATATTCTCAAGGTGATCAAACGAAATCCAACACAGGGGAGGTCTCTGGAGGGAATCAAAGAAGAGAAGTCACTTGGTGCCTGGAATCTGGCCGACGCTCTTACTGACATTTTCAAACGACAGGTTGACGGAAGTATCTACGCTCCACGGCAGAGGCTACAAAGTCTTGTCTCCTCGCTGTCGACTTTCAAGACGTCCGAGCCTAGAGATACGATATATGCGCTTCTCGATCTAGCTACGGAGACATGCAAACTTTCGATGAGCAACAACTTACAGCAACCCCAGCGGATCATACGACGGCGGAACCCTGCTCCGGAGTCCGACTACAGCATCGACTTGCTCCACCTTTACACAAAGTTCACCAAATGGTGTATCGGCGAAAGTCATTCTTTGGACATTATCTGTCGTCGCTGGGCGCTCCCCGAGCTTGAACAGAAGCTAGATGAGCAGTGCCCAGAGCTTATGAAGCTGCCGTCATGGATCAAAACGGTAGAGGAATCTGAGTCTCGTCCCCGAAATGGAAGCTTAGGCGGACGGAAAACAGCGAATAGTCTTGCTGGCCTACCTGGGAACTGCTGTTACAACGCTTCAAATGGCCACTTCCCCAACGTTGAGTTCAGGAGAGACAAGACACCTAAGCTGGTTGAAGGCTCTCCGCCAGATATCCTCCGCGCGCAATCGCAGATAATTTCCGACATGAACCTGACGATGACCATTAGAGGACGGTCAATTGGAGTCGTCTCAGAAGTTCATTCAATGCACAGCGGTATCATTCCGAGTAAAGTTCTACTGAGTCTAGGCCATGTTTCGAGTACAGAGCCGCAAAATGTCCCGGACGCTGTCTGGAGGACACTCGTAGCAGACCGGGATGTAGACGGAAAAGCAGTGCCGAGATGGTATCAACGAGCTTGCATGGGATGTCTGTCGTCCGTCACTGATGCTGAGGATATTGACACCAATGCAATTCTCCAACGATGCGACCCTCCAACGGATCTCAGCGCAGCTTACTTGAAGAGATTACAGGCTGTCTGCTTCAACAGGAACTACATCGGATGCGAGGATGCGAACGGGAAGAATGGGAAGTTGGTAGGGATAGCTCCTCTTGATTCCAAGGTCGGCGATGTCGTGTGCATTCTTTTCGGATGCTTCGTCCCTTGTGTTCTCCGGCCTTTCTGGGATGCCAGATGGCGTGAGTCTCAGCCTTAACATTACAAGCTTGTCGGAGAGGCTTTCGTTCTTGGGCAGATGGACGGCGAAGCACTTGATGGCCTGACAGAGAAGAAGTTGCAAGGAGAGGACTTTCCTTTGATGTGAAGCGATGTCTCCAATCTGAAGTTCAACATGTACCTTACACAGTTCACCTTCACAATGACACAGAAACCTGATTCGACAGAACCGGTGTTAGCGATTTGTGGAATGCAATTAGCTCCGTGTTAGCTTTTCTTGGTGCGAGAGCTTGACGAAGCCGGAAAGTTCGGCCTATGATGTAATAGTCTTCTAAGAGTCAAACATGTCACCACACAGACCCGCCGAAGCAGACCACATCCGTCACACCACGAACAACCCCTTCTCCACGGACATCCGCAACATAAAACATCAATTCGGACTACTACCTCTTTTCCAGTGGTTGCTTCGGACATTGAACAAGTAGATATTCTAGACTTTTTCTAGCTCACCTTTTCCCATCGGAACTCATTACTCTACACGAACTACATCTTCACCAATTCAACGTCATCTCTCTCACAAGCACGAGTCATGTTTCTCTCAAACAGAGCGCCCGAGAAGGCCCTTCCCCGCTTCCAGACAAATACACCACTGGATTCAACGTTCGATAAAGATATTCGGGATACGCATCTCATCTATGATTATGATGCCGAAGACGCAGAGGGCAACCCGGAAAAGTGGAGATACGAAATGTGGTTCTTCTCCGAGGACCGTGTTGTCTATGCCATCCACGGTGGGCCCATGAACGGCCGCATAAACTACCAGACGGCGACTTATCAATGCATCCGGCCCGGTGAACTGTGGCAGGTCAACTGGTTGGAGGAGACGGGAACGGTGTGCTCCTTGGTGTACGACATCCCCAAGCAGAAGATTTCGACTCTCATCTCATTCTCGAGAGGGCACTGGGAGAACCCTCAGGCGGCACATGGTGATAAGCGCAACCCGGGAGACTTTGCGAGATGGAGAGTTCTCTCGAGATTCGGAAACCAGACAGATAGATTCATGTTGTCTGAACAGGCAGATATTGTCGAAAACTTCAAGGGAAGAGGGGATCTTGTGCCGATCGAGGAGCACGCCAAAACGTTCTGAGTCTTTCTGCAATGGGCATTGTGCTTTTGAGATGACAACCTGTATAACTAAGAGCCGGAGTTAAATCAAACAATCATGGGTTTCTTCACGAAGGATTGCCAGTCAATACAAGTTCGGAGCCATTGTCCAAACAGCACAATTCATTGACCACTTTGATTGTCCCATTTCCAGATGGGGACCACCATGCCTTCAACATGCACCCTATTGTTTCCCATCGCACTTGGCAGTGGGGACTCTGGTGTCAAGGCCAAGTTCATTCTACCGGCACACCTTCGTTCTGCCGATTGACGGATCATTCTCAACAACACATTTCAGACCATCGCAACATCTCGTGAAGAAGGGGTCGTTGTCGTTGCAGAAGTCTACACTGGTCAAAAAACTGCCTGGGAAACGAGAGCAGCCACCTAAGTATGTAACTTGAAGACTTACTATCAGCGGTTCTGCAGTTATCTTGACGTTTGAACAGATCACCTCCATTACCATCCACCTGAAATGCGTTAGGTAGACACGAAATGTTGACTGTTCTGATTATGAAGGCTTACCGAGCGTGGTACAGCAGCCGAGGTAACGGCGATGAGTGCTGCAAGAACGGCGAGAGACTTCATGGCTTTGGCTAAGAGAATTTATGTGTACCTATGTAAGACAAGTGCTTGAGGACGAGTGGAAGCAACAGAGATGAGACAGCAGGAAAGCAAGTTGAAAGGCTTTGGAAGGACTGGATGAGCATCTTTCTGATGGTCAAAAAGAGTTCCTTGTGTTCGGATGGCAGCTGTTCACTCGCTTTATATGTTCACTTTCTGGAGTCGAAATCCTCATATATCTGTCAACCTGAACAGGCATCCTGGCTCAGGGACTTGGCAGAATTGTGGGATCTCTGTCTGCTACTGTATCAAATACGCTTGGGTATAGTTGTCCAGAACAGTCTTGTGATAAGGTACTAAATGACCGGTCAAGTTTAATATCAAGGAGTCAAACGAGGGAATCCATGGGGGAGACTAGAAAGTGCCAATTGAAGAGTCTAACTGGGATAGTGACCATGCCAGGCACTAAATTCTAGCCGCAAAGTAACATGAAATGTCCTCGAACAGCTCCAACGAACGGTGACGCCGGGCTAAGCCTCCGCCTCGCTTTCGGTTCAGTTGCGTGGAGTGTTCGTCTGAAACAGTCGTCTGAGACTCGGAAGTTTAACCGCCACCTCAAATTAGTATTCAAAGATGAAAGATGCAGAGAGACGGTGGAATTATCTTCCGTTATTGCATCACTACTAAGAGTCACTGGGGCTCTTCATAGTATTTGATTTTGTCAGTATATCGGAGTTTTGCATTCACAGCCGTCGGAGTACATTAAACATCCGGCCCTGCTTCCCAGTGCATTGCCCAAATACTATCATGGGATTACTGACTTAGCTACCAGCGGGACTATTGTTTGTGTTAATTACTGGCAAACAATACCCTACTCTAATCTGTACACCCATGCCTTTTGGGGCGACAAAGTTCCCTGGATGATGTTTTTCCATGCTTTTTCAATGCCATTCGTACCTCCAACACCACTTCCCCATATCAGCTCAAGGTCTGCCACGCTCTCCTCCTCGAGGAACCTTCGGAACGTTGATTCAGCGCCGTCGAAGTATTTACCTGCACCCTCTACAGCAATCCCAGCGTCTACAATACCAGTCGTGTTGAGCTGAATAAGTCCCCACTTCTTGAATATCGCCATCGACTTGAGGGCCTCCTCTGGTGCCATGATCTTTGGCTCTCCTCCGACTTGGATGTTGGTGAACACAGTTGATTCTGGGAGCGTTGATTTGATGGCCTCGCGGAACTCCTCTGTCTCCTTCGGGCGGCCACCAAAGTCAGCTACAACCACGCGTTTGGGTTGCAGTTTGGCAATCCAGTCAATCGTGTCTTTTGCGGCGAGCTCGGAGTAGTTGACCGTCTTGATCTCAAACGCTGCCTTTGGGTTGGCTTTCAAAGAATCTGGCGCAGAGGTGGCTTGGAGGAGAGCCAAAGGTCCGCCATCTGACTTTCTGTCTCTAGCCAAGTTCCACGAAAATGACCTGCCGGTACGGCTAGATGCCGAGAGACTGACCACAACGGCTGAGCTCAGGTCCGCATCCTTTTCGGTCCATTCCCCGGCTCCCACGCCGAGAGGATGAACCGGCTTGAATTCCGTAGCGAAGGTGAAGCGATTCATGACATAACCGCAGTTCCAGATAGGAGAGACGTTGGCAAACCATGCCTGGTACTCTTCCGACTGAGCAGACTCGTCGACAAGATTGTAGCGATTGTAAATGTTCCCAAGTCCCTGCCTGTGTTCGCTGACCTCGCGGAAATGACCCTCTGGTTCGCTCGGAACGAGGGACAAGTCGACCGGATGAGAAGAAGTGGGCCAGTACCCATAAAGCAGGCTCTTGGCCGGGATAGCCTCGATGTTGGACTCGAGCACCCGCGCAAAGCCCCACGCCGGGACGATGCCCCACTCGGCCCGGTCGTTGTACGGTGCCGGTGCATCCAAAGGTACGGGCCAAGTGTTCCACCATTGCAGCATGTCACCCAGCTTCGCATACGAGAGGTTGTTGCTCGTGATCCCGATGAGGGATGTGCGGACGCGGATAGAAGAGACGCCTAGCTGCGGCAACGGCAGATCAACTGCAACGGTCTCATGTTTGGAGAGGTCGCGCTTGGAAATAACGTGGATTTCGGACACCATTGCGGATGATTTACGCTGGGCTGGGTGTGTAGGATATGTCTCTCTCGGCTGGGCTGTTGGCTACTACACTCGACGTCTTTGAGGCATAAGAGTCGAGAATAATAATGAAAGGTTCAAGAAATTGGCGTACATATATCACAAATGCGGTCAAACTCTAACCCGACCTTGTCTCACATCAGCCAGCAGTCAGCTTTATTGTGAGATCCAGTATTTTGTCAGAATATTCACCCCACCGACCCATTACCTTGGATCTAGACCCCATCCAAAATGGGCGGAACGTCAGCGTCAGTCAAATCCTCTAAAAAAATCCTACAAACTTACCATTCAATTCCCAAGACCGAGGGTTCCGACTATTGCTATCAGTCACCCTGCAGTACCTCGAGGTATGTTACCAATTGAGTCATCAGCAAGCCGCATAAGGAAGTTAGGGAGCGGGGTAAGTCAGCACTATCTCACTCGACAACGTGCACCCACCAACGAGTGGGACTTTCCTCCACCTCTGTTCTGGCCAAGTAGATTGTCAAGGCAAGTCAGTTCGACTTCTGCGCAGGTCCGAATCAAATGATAGCAAACAAGGTGTCGTATGATGATTCTATTCACGTGTTCTATATTCTCTTCCTCTAAAGTCTCAAGCAGTACCGAATGCCTTCTGGTGGCCGACAAGGGTAAAGCGGTAGTGAACTTTGTTCGCCTTCACTTTCTCAACAGCCTCCTTGCATCCTGCCTCCGAAATATCAATAGTCTCAACCCAAGGTGAGATGCCCTTCTCGGCGGCCAACTTCAACAGAGCGTTCATCTCCTGGTTATTTCCGATGTGGCTACCGGACATCTTGGCAGAATTGCTGGCGAAGAGGCCTGCGGGGAACTGAGGCAAAGGCTTGTCTGGCAAGCCGACCATGTGGAAATGACCGCCGACCTTAAGAGTGGACAGGTACGTCTGAAGGTCAAACTCGTTGGTCATGTCGGAGCAGTTGAGCATGAAGTCGAACTTGAAAGCATAAGGCTTAGCCCAGTCCTTCTTGTTGGTGTCAATGACTTCCTTGGCACCCAACTTCTTGCAGTCTTCGGCCTTGTCCGGCGAGTGGGTAACGGCGTAGACTTCCGCTCCGAGTGCCTTGGCCCACTGCAGACCGAGGTGGCCGAGTCCGCCGATACCGACAATGGCGACGACGGACCCCGGGCCG